TCTATCCCCCCAAAATTTCCCAGGCTATGGTAAATTCTCTAAGACTCAATAAGAATTTCTAGGACCCTCTAGGGAGAATCAAACTGGCATATTTGACAAGCCTTCTCATCTCCTTTCATTTTATGCTGTGACATGAAACTTGGGTGTTGCAATCAATACTTATCTGCTTTGCTCTAGACTGGCTCTTCTTATGCTGTGATAACCGCTGCAATAACTAAACTCCTTTTTTTTTGAGCCAACGTGGGTATCTTTAGACTGTCAGGTGGAATTTGGAAGAATCCAGAGTGTTTTCTTCTCCTTCAAGTTGCCAAGGAAGTTGGATCAAGACTGGGATACCTAGTGGCTTTACACAGGTTTCATACTCTGTAGCTTTTCGAGAAAAAGGGAATTAATTGCTTGTTCCTCTCCTGATTATGCACAACCCATAAAAGACTCAATTGCTCAACTTTGGTCAATATAGCTTTGTCACCAGCCCTCAGGCTGTCATCAACAAAGGTAATCAAAGGCACTTGCCAGAGCACCCATGGGCAAGGCCCTCGGAAAGGTTTCAACCCCTGATGCTTTGGGACAAATAAGTGGAAACATCAATGGTTTGAGTACAAGCTTCTCAGGACAGGAGATGGCTTTTTCTTCTTCACTTGCCTTCCCATGAACAGCAAAAGGATTGGTAGGGACATTTCTGGCAATCCAAAGACCTTGCAACTACTGTTGGTGTTCATATTGTTGCTAACCCAAYTCACAAGAGACCCCTCTTTAGGGCTTCCTGTGAGAGAGAGTTTATTGGTAAGAATATGAATGTACACTAATTTTTCTTCTCCCCAGGAAGCTCTTTTTCAGTCAACCAGGCATCTAGCATGCCTCTGAATAAGACATAGAGATGAAAATGATAAATTAGAAAGCCTCTGGACTGTGATCTCAGCAGCTTACGGATAGGGAGAAGCCACATTAGCCTGAATAAATGAAAGTCAGTAGAGACGTGAAGTAAAACTAAGATGGGCTCAAAGCAGGCACTGGCTACCATCTCTAAACTATTTTATTGATTTCTTTTCTTGCCTGTGTTAATTGTTGTCTATCTAGGTGCAAGGTACAGGGAAAACAGAGCTCTTCCTAACAAAACTCCCTTTAGATGGGCAGGCTGTGGTAGCCCTCCCGGACCATATCAGTGTGATAAGGGACACATGGTCCTGTGCCTCATCCAGGATGTGAAGCAGCTATGGAATATTTGAGATTATTGCATTCAGTAACAAAAAAAAATAATCTGTGCCTTTGTGGGCCATGGATCAGGCAGGTTATGAGCYAATATTAAGGAGAATAAAATAAAAAGGTACCAGCCACTCTTTGTACAAAGAGTCTGGGTTTGGTCCCTTTCAAAAGATGAGAGACTACAGAATGTTCCCAGTGAAATATTTCTGATGCTGACAACTGCTAATTCCTGCAATCTGCATAGGACATCATCAAMACTCACCCCCACTCTAACAGAAACATCACAATTTCCTGACAAACCCAGTTCACATCTTCAGTTTCACGCTGTTTGCCAYGGCTCACCATCACAAACCAGGATGGCAAAGTCACAGGGTGTGGCAGCTGCAGGAGCCTGCAGCTGTGTCCTGAATCACAGCAAAGGGATCAGACTGTGCAGGGAGGGAGCTGCTGGAAGCTGCAGGTCAGTGATCCCAAAAAAAAAGCTCTGCTGGCTGCAGGAGAAGAGCTAATGAAGCTGTTTGTGCTCCCAGGCAAAGCCTGTTAAATTATCCACAACTACTTAGACCAGGTTGCCAATGTCCTACAGAACAATAGCCTGTCAGATAAGAAAGAAAAGGGTCTGGGTGACTCTCTCCACCTGCTCTGTCAAAATACAATCTGCCAATCATCTGGAGAAGAATGCAAGAGGAGAGCAAGGACTTACACCGTTCCAAGGAATGTCATTCCTGCTTTCACCAAATTAAAGCTGATCTGTATTGTCATTTGGCATTGAATTATTAAGGTGTTTTTCCCCTTACCTGCCTTCCTCCGAGGTGYCAGTGCTACAGTCAACAACCTCAGTCACACTTTAGATACCTCACAGGGTTRGGAAAGGTTTTTTTCCTGTGGGCTGCTTCAGGGCTTCAGGACTTACAGCTGAAGTGAGAAAAATGCCTGGTTCAACTGCTCACAGAAAAACCAGAACACGAAGCCACATAGCAGTTTAAAAATAATTTTTTTAACTTCCCAGACAGGCAGATGAGTAAGCTATGATTGAAGCATTTAAAAAAAAAATTAAAAATGCATTCTTGATTATTCTGCGTAAATACCAACACTACCCCTTCCCTTTGCATTTGCATTTTCCAATTCTCAGCCAACAAGAAATAAATAATTTCTGTGGTCCTAGCTCTGGTAATTAGCCAACAAACACTATTGACAACGTCAATGAATGAAAGAAACTGCAAAGGTTCTAATGAACTCCTCGAGGAGAGAGCACAAAGAAAAAGTAATTTGGCCCTCTTGCCCCCCAGTATGGGTTTAATCTCACTACCTGTCCATTCAAAACCTCCCACACAAGTTCAATTACAATTTTTCTTGCAGTTCTGCAGTCACAAGTTTAACCATGAAAAAAAAAAAACCTGAAGGAGATATATTTTAGAAACCTTTACAATGATCTAAAATAGCTCTTTGATGCATAGCAGATGTCTTCAAAACTCGCATAAATGGAGCCAAAATGCYTTGCAGTTCTGGAAAAGGGAGATTCCAAGATAAGACACGTTTCCAACTGCAACAGCTCTGGATGAGGTTTGGAATTTATATTAATTGTCAACCTCAAGGAAAACATTTAAAAGAAGCCCTTCTGTCTCCCATTTTGAGACAAGTGTCTTACTGGGCTTTGTGCTGCTCAAAGACCTGATGTCTGCCTGAAAGCAGTTCCTCTGTATCTGTAAAAGACAGCAGATGGGTTCAGATGGGGAAAAACAGAGAGAACCACAATCAGTGACACATGGAGGTGACAGACTGAGGACTGCCTGCCCTTCATCATAACCTCCAGTTTGTTATGAAGGAGGTGCTTGGCAGGCTTCACTGTAGGGAGGAGGACTGAGAAGGGATTGGAAAGGAGTCAGTGAGATGGTGCTGAGGGATGCTAACAAGGCAACACCTCTGAGACACACAGCATGGGAGAAAAAAATGTGAAGGGACATGCTGGAAATCTGAACAACAGAGCCAGGAAAACTGTCCCCATAGTGAAAGCAGGGATGGGAGTCTCCAGTTCTGTTGCTCAACAGAGGGGATAGACTTGTTCTGAGGACATTTTTATAAAAGGGAGAAGTCTGTGTCTGATACGATGAAGTGGGTGGTACGAGTGAAAAAAACAAACCCACGAGGCACCAACAGCCAACATGATGAGTCAGGACAGAATCTTCCTCTTACTGCTCTGAGCAATGCATCTCATGTGTGCCAGGTCTTAGTTTTCATGAAGATTTAACACCCTTAACTCAGGCAATGTTAGGCTGTGCTCCCAGAATAGCTGTGGAGTATCTTTTACTTGAATCAAAGAAAGAGTTAGAAAGAGAACTGACAGACTGATGCAGGAGTAAAATGGAAGATTTGGTATGAAGTAAACATTAAGAACAGARAAACCAGAGCTAGAAAATTCTGTATGTATAATTAAAGATGAAAATAATTGGTTCTATTTTCACATCAATGCAAAGGGCACAATCATGCCCTTTCATACTGAAAAAAAGCAGAAAGAAAAGTCAGAGAGTGATGATGATATCACAGAGGAGTAGTGTTCCCCTTATCAGCTCTGCTCCCGCTTCTTCCTGGCACTCTTTTCCTCACCTTCCTTCTCTTACAAGAAATGGGCCAAAAATACAAACTGCATATCTGGYTTTCATATACATTAAAGCACAGGAGGACTTCAGTTTGGCTGAAGAGACAAGACAGGAAATGTGAGTAAACTCAACCTCCACCACATGCTCCAAATTCAGGAGGTTCTGGAGGTAGCCCTTGGATGAAGCTCCACTCTAATGTCTCATTCTACCTTTCTCTCTCCAACCTTCCTTCTGCAATGCCCTCCACTTTTYKGGCAGCTGAACTATCTGTAGCRCATGCAGAATGTTTGTTCTCTGCCYACCTCAAATCCTCTTCAACCCCTTACAYCTATGGCAGTATCACAGAAGACCTTTCATATGGGGCTAATCAATGCTTTCCCCATGCATTTTAGATTAAAGAGTATTTGACAGCAAAATAAATCAGCAAAAGAGTTCTTCTCCAAAGACGTGATATGGAGGGATAGAAACCTACCTCTTGTTCTCATACTCCTGATAAATCTTTAGGGGTTGAAGGTCTCCTTGCAATGCAAGCTGCTAACCCCACAGAGTCTGGCTACTGAAAGGAAATTCTCCTTCCAAGCTTGCCACATCCTTGAGCATGGAGGGCACAGTTAGACAGCAGAACAAAGATGGTAAGTTCTCCTTTATTCTGTCTCCATCCTGCTCTTCACTCACCTTGAACATCAAATGCCTTCTTTACTCTCCTCAGAAGACACAAGACTTCTTTCTGGCTGTCTGCCAAAGTGGAGAGTGAAATGAAACGAACTGGGCCACTGTTTGCCTCTTGCTTTTACGGCAAAATCAGTAGGAAGCAAAACCCATGGTTTTCAGAGAGAACCTCTTTGATGTAGTGTCTCAGCAGAAATYCTTTTCCCTCAGCCTGGCACCAGCAGCATTTTGTCTCTACCACTGTGCTGTGCATTACCAGCAGTAGAGATTGGGACAACTAGATGAAGACCTAAACTAAATGGAATTACAGGTCCAATTCTGTAGAGCATCTATTGAAGTAATTTTATTTGTTCACTTGGAAAACCTGGTTATAGTGCCTGGAAATTCACACCACAAAACGAGCTTGAAGCACGTTCAAGATTCTTTTCACTTTTCTATAGCTGCCTGTATTGCCACTGAAATTTTCTTCGATGCTGGAAGAGAAGAAAACTCCTGTACAGTTCATAAATCAAATCCAGYTGGATTTCTTACCTGTAGGAGTGAGGTGCCTCCAGGTGATGACAGGCTCAGGACGCCCATTTGCCATGCAAACCAGGGTGACATTGCTGCCCTCATTCACGGTGATGTCCGAGGAGATATTGGAGATCTTTGGTGGAACTGTGAGGACAAAAGAAAGTTTGACCTCGTTAGAAGCAGAATTATGCAGGGCAGCTTGCCTGGATTATTAATCTACCTACCTATTAATCAGAGCTAGCCATAAACTCATCCCACAGGCTGCACCCCTCATTACAACCTGGGTTTCTGAAATTACATCAAAATAGCAGATACTGTTGTGTAGTTTGTATTTCAAGGGTCTGCAGGTAGGAACAGCCTTTGCTGCAACTGCAATGCTTTGTGTTTGGACAAGGTGAGGAGCTTTCATAAAATGACCTCTAAGAACTTGCCTGCCTGGCCCAAGGCTGCATGGAAGGGTCTGCAGGCTCCAAGTACCATCCTAGTTAATTTTTACACTCCAAGGAGTCCTAAATGGAGTCCCACATCCTCCTGCAGGATGCCAGGCTTCACGGCACTGACACAGGGGGTGTATGACTTATTGGTTTCTGTGACATCTTTCAGCCARGAGGGATTCCCCTTGGCTACCTGCCTTGGGTAGGTTCTGTGTGAYTGCACATCTTTCAGATTCACAAGATCAGCCATGACTTGGGCATTCAAGATCCTTAAAGATCTTCCCAGCTGAGTTTGTGTCACGGGGACACAAACTGGCACCATGAACTGGGATCTGATCAGGCACCTCCAGGTGTGGAGTGTGCCAGCTGTTGCAGTCTTTCCTCTCTCACATCCGTGTTTTGCTTCCATGCTCACACCCCATGTCAGGTGGTGAGGGAGTTTGACTAAAAAGGAATCCTCTAATTAATCTTTTTTTTTTTTTTTTTTTTTTTAATATTTTCAGCTCCCAAATTTGCGTGTAGCAAGGAATGAAACAAAATCATTTTCTGCTTTGCTTACCACAGAGTAAACAGACAGCAGCTTCCCCTTCTCCCTCCCTGGCAGGAGTGGCTGATGGTCCTTTGGAGGCAAAGCTGCCTATGAGCTAGGTGGGGAAAAGGAAATGAAGCCTGAAGGCAGCAGCTCACTACCTCCAGCTGTGTTGCTGGATTCACAGGAATATTGTTTACAACCCACAGCTCATTGGCCCCTCTCTGTAGACCCCAAACTCACGGACAGAGCTTGAGGATCTGTGACCATGGGACCCCCTTGAAGGAAGGGGACCTGTCAAGCAAAGTGAAGCAGACATCCATTTTCTATTTCCATCCATTTTCCAACAGGCTCCCTAACCCAGGAAAGGAGGGATTTATGCCAGGCACATTGGGGAGGAATTGCCATGATTTGTGAAGAAGTGACAATGCAGAGGGCAGTGAGGAAGCAGCTGGAGGACCCACAGGAGGGAAGGGTTTTGCATGCCTTGTGAAAGCAGGACAGCTCGGGACCCATCTCAAAGGCCAGTGCAGGTATCACAGTGGAAAAACAGGAGGAATCAGATGTTCATGCAGTTTATAAACCCCTTGGGGTGACAGAGCTGGGCTGGGACAGCTCTTAGGACTGGCCTGTARCTCAGATACACACTTTCTAAGAAACACAGGCTGGAAAGGTGAGGATAAATGCAAAGGAGGGCCTGGCATGCACACAACTCTGGATGGTGAACGAGCTGAGAGCTCAGATGTAAGGATCAGAGGATATCACAGAGTCACCCCTGTTCTTGGTGTTTCTTACCAATCCTCAATTAAGAAGAGGCAATAGACAGAGACTGCTTTAGACAGATAGAAGAAGCCTCACAATCCCAGTGCCTCATTAGGGACCAACCACCTTGACCTTTGATATTTTCTGGAAGGGAGCAAGTGCTCGGCTCAAGCAGTCCAGGACATGTGGGGGTCCTTTAGGGTCAGCTYGAGCTGGCAGTGTGCCCTTGAAGCAATGACCAAGCATCCTGGTTATTATCAGCAAGAGTGTAACCCCCTAAGTGGGGGCAAGCAACCAAAACCCTTTGCATGCTGCTTGTTAGCATCTCAGGAATTAGATCACAATTTGGGGCACCCCAGGACAAGAAGGCCATTGAGACACCAGAGAAAGTCCACTGGAAGGCTCCCAAAATGGTCAGAGGACTATGGCACATGACTTCCAAGGAGAATCCAAGAGAGATGGATCTGTTCAGTCTGAAGAAGAGAAGGTTGAGGGAGATCTTCTTGCTCTCAATGCCAGCCCAAATGGCTGAGGAGAGAGCAGCAAAAGCCACTTTTGGGCAGCAGCAGAGCTTCACTTGGGACATGTGTAAACTGCCACCTTCCAAAGCCATCAAGATATTTTATTTCACAGAGGATCAAGTAAACTCAGCCAGYACAAACAGATCTGGCAATGCCTACCAAATGCCCAAGAGGAAAAGCATGTGTCCAGATGGCTATATCTGGCTTGCTGCTTTTCCAGAGCAGGGTGAAAAGGACATCCAAGGCTGAAATTCTGTTAATATAATGGCTGTTTCCTTTCAGCTGCCACCTTGGTCAGAAGGCAAGGAAAGGCTAAGACAAGGGGGAATAGGGCAGGAAATAATTTCCCTCTAAATTTAAAACCTGGCTTGGCTTCATCTGCTTCGAATCCAAAGCCAGTGGACAATAATTTTAGTCAGATAAAAAGTCAGAGACTTTTAATTTTCAGGGCATCAAGCCAGCATGTTAAAATGCCAAAACTGTCAGCACCAGCAACAGTTAGCATTGCCTCCTTGGCACTTGTCATTACTTTGCACACACCTTTTYAGGACAGCCTCAAAATGAGAAGCTTTGACCTTATTATTTTTCCCCATGTGTGGGTTGTGTTGTTTTCACAGGTCCCAGAATGCTGAAAGAAGGATTACTGAGAATGAAACCTCCTGGGACCAGAATCTTGTGGGTGTCACAGCCTCCATTTGCCCAGCCATCTCCTGTTGACCCTCAGCTGCAAAACTCTTCTGTATCTGGCCTCTCTGAACCATTATCAGAAGCAAATCCACAGGCTGCAGCCTCACAGCAAGGCAAATAAACAGCACTTCCAGAGGTTTCCTCTGGGGAAAATAGGCTGCTGCTGGACCCCTCTTCCCTCAGGCTCCAGGGACCATGGGAAAGCACTGCCAGGGTCTCTGGTAGTGCTGAAAAAAAATAAGATTGCCAGGCTTTTTCCCCTCTTTCAGTGTAAATAATATGGGGTATCCATTCCATGGTGCTTAGGATCCCTCTGGGATGGGATGGGAGGGGATGGGAGCAGAGGCAGACATGAAAAGAAGCATCCTGTAGTACCCCCTGCTCCATCCCCAGAGAGAGAGAGCATGCCCCACCCCACCCATAGCAGGGACTGATTCTGGAGAGATGGAAATGAATACTGAGAAGAATGGCCTGCAAATCACATATTCATTTCTTCTGCATGTCACATCCACAGGACAAGGCTGATGCCAGCCCAGCAACTCATCTTCCACATCTCTGACAGTAAATAACAAATTCTAAAGTAACCAATGGCCATTCTCCACGAGAAAACTCGCACTGGAAGAGGATCTGCAAGGCAGGAGTGAGGCAAGGGCAGGGATGCTGTAGGGTGCCCTGGGCTGGGAGGGCTGCAGGGCAGGAGAGGGACAAGGTCAGAGCTGGTGTGGGAGATTTTAAGCCCCAAGAAAGACACGGTGACAGAGCTGGATAGAACAGGCTCGTGCAGAAACAGCTTGCACCGAGCCCGTTCTAGYTAATTGCCGTCAATCCTTCACTTCATGACAACTGTAACTCACATTAATTTAAATAATACGAAAGACTGAGACATGAAAAATAGATCATGCTCCCCCAGCACAATCACTGTTGCTCTCCAGATGAAAGCAAGTGATTTGTTTCTGCAAAAAAACACTCGCTATAGCAGTTATTGGAGAGCAGGGGCTGCATACGGGAGGCAGCGAGGAAACCACAAACAAGCAAACACACAAACATCTGCTGTTGTTATCCTTGCCTTTTATGACCAAAGCCCTTCAGAGCTCAAAACTCCTCCTGAGATATTACCTGGGATGGCGTGGGCAGGCTGGATCAGCATTCTAATGCAAGGCTATGATAGGAGGCCAGGAGCAGTGCTACACCCCTAAAATCACAATAAATGAGGAAGCCTGAAATGTTAAGAGACACAAGTCCACGTGCAGAAGGCCAACTCCTGAGTACCTGTCCTGGAGTGCAGTGGGGGATGCAACAAGAAAGCATCAAGGCCACCCTTGCTAAAGCAAGATTTCCAGAGATCTTTTCTTTATGTAGTTTATGCTGAACCTGACCCATGCCACAGCTCCCCAACAGTTCAGATCCCCGCCTTTTGATCAGAGCACAGGCACAGAGCAGAAGGAATGGGAACCACTGCTCAGCAGAAGTGGTCCAAAGGGTACTGGGATGCTGGGGACAGCAGCTCCTGGGTCTGGCACTGATGGCACTCTGCTTTCATGATGCTTCACACAACACCTCAGTGCAGCAGGAGGATGAGCTGTGGGAAGAGGGCAGGAAGCACAGGACTAGGAACAAAAATTGGGTTTGGCAGAATAAAGAATGTGAACAGAGACACAGCAGACACCTAGCTGGAAAACAGCTCTGTGTCCTGTAAATGCACTCACACTAAATTCAGTCAAATGGTTGGACTGTTCCCTCTGGGTAAACAGTGCCCTGAATTTAAGACCCTTAGATGCAGCTTTCCACTGTGGGGCAGCTACTCCCCAATCTCACTGCTCAACAGTACAGAATTTTGTCAATAAGTCACAAAATATATTTAAAAAAATACAGCTCTTAACCCCAGTCTACAGACCTATAATACAGCAAAAGCTATTTAATACCTCCAAGACACAGATGCAAACAGTATTGAAATTTCCTAAGAAAGCCCATAAGCTTCATTTAAGTGGTCTAACTGCTTGTCTGAAAAAGGGCACCTTGGATACAAATGGAAAAAAAATCACAATTCCTTCCACAGATCCTCATTAGTTGCTTCCTCCAGCCTATTTCCTTCATCTCTATTGGCAAGTAGGACCCCCATCTGTTGAATAAAATTAWGAGTCCCACCCACTAACACACAGGAGTCACCAGCTCCCAGGCCARAAAGAAGAAAACATCAGGACCTCTCTCCAA